GGAGACACCGCTGGGCAGCTCGTCTATTAGATATTTCTCACAATGGTGACAGAAACCAAGCCTGGGATCGTGTTCGCAGCGCCAGAAATGAAACTCAGTGTGGTTTCGGTTCGAAACTATAGCAGGAACTTTATCGGATGAAAACAGGATGACAACAACGCTAGTTACATTTCATATTCAGTTTATAAGAAGTAAAATATAGCAAAATGCAAAGTCAGGAATGTTCTCACAAAGATAACAAACACCTAATGCTGTAACTAGAAACCGGATGGACGGCGCTAATCACAAGGGCATCGGGACGGTGTTAGCCGTACCGTTGAAATGGTAGTCATCAGGATTCCATAACTTACGCGCAACTTAAAAAAAGTTTAAAGTTGTAAATGTCAAACATGCTTCAATACTATTCGTCATTTATTTGTCTGGGCGGTCCGTAGTACCTTTGCCCATCAGTCAGTGTCTAATGTACCTTAGTCGAATCTGTCAATCCTGGTTGCACAGAAACCAGAAAATGTCAAAGAAAAAGAGAAAGGGAAAGATAATTAAAAAGGAGAAGAGCAAATAAAAACAGAAAATGAAAACACCTTGGCTTTTTGACTTGTTACACGGATTCATTTTGAGGTGAACTAAACAAATTTTGATTCGGCTTTGTTGGAGTGTAATTTTAAGTTTACTAGAAGTTCGCGCTAATTTTTGATTACAGTGCGAGCCGTGGCCTCGAATGTTTACGAACTTGCTCCACTGTGTAGTCCACTGAGTCGCGCAACAGAGCGTTGCTGTGCTGTTCCGCTTGACTATAACATCGCTGCGCCTGTAGCTTGATAAGATCTCTCAAGTAAGGAATGTTAAGGTCTCTGTGTAGTGTCTCGTTTGTGACACACCATGGAGCGTTGCAAATTATTATTATTATTATTATTATTATTATTATGATAATTGAGATGAGCAGAGTACACAGTACTATAAGCTCATGCAGTAAATATAGTGTACGGATACCTAACACAAATACATCAAATAGAAAAAAATAAAAAAAAAATACAGTTCATTGCTATAAAGTTTCTACACTCCTCCAGCTATCATACTGCACTTTGAAGCTATTAACTGAAGTAGCACCAACCACACTTTCAGGTAAACTATTCCAGGTGTTGAGTATGCGGTTGGGAAGAAACCACTGTCGGACTGTTGTTTTAAATGGCTCCTTATGCAGTTTGAAGCTGTGTCCGCGTAGATTGCTGCGCGACAGATGGTATAGATGCATGAGGTTGGTGCCCATCAAACCATGAAGTATCCTGAACGTAACTATAAGATCGCCACGAAGTCTTCGCTCAGAGAAAGAGGTCAGGTTGAATAATTCAAGGCGATCTTCATAGCTTGGTCTTCGTGCTCCAAAAGGGATACGAGTAGCCCGATGCTGTACTGATTCGACGAGATTTCTATCGCGCAGAAGCACAGTGTCCATACCGGGCCAGCGAATTCAAGAATTGGCCTCACGAATGCCTTGTAAATGTAGGCGCAAGTGTTGACATCGGATCCTTTGAAAGACCTCTCCAGCATATTTAGAAGTTTCTTGGCTTTTGATGTAACGTGGTGAATATGCTCTGACCAGGAAAGACGATCGTTGACCATAACGCCCAGATCAGTGTGGCTCGAAACTGCTTCGATGTTGTGGTCAGAGATCTTGTATGTAAATCGCGGATTTGTCTTCCCGAGGTGAAGGACACAACACTTAGTTAGATTTAAGGGTAAAAGCCAACTGACTGACCATTGACAAACAATATCAAGATCTCGTTGAAGCATAGCAGAATTTACGACAGTATTGTAAATCTTGGTGTCGTCGGCATAAGCTGAACATGTGGAGGAAATCAATGCGGGCAGGTCACTTGTATACAGAAGGAACAGCACTGGCCCCAAGACAGAGCCTTGAGGAACTCCACTTGCTACATGATGAAGGTGAGACTGGCTATCACTGACGCGCACAGAGAAAGTCCTCCCGGTGAGAAAAGCCTTAATCCACAGTAACAACTCGCCTCTTATTCCCATACATTCCAACTTAAACAGAAGCCTTCTATGTGGTACGCGATCGAAAGCCCTAGAAAAATCTAAGTAGATTATATCAACAGGAGTCTTTGTGTCCAGATACTGAGTCCAATCGTTGAGAGAGTGGAGAAGGTTGGTCATTATTGATCGACCAGGGAGAAATCCATGCTGATTCTTAGGGATAAGGTCATTTTCGAAAGCAAATGACTGGAGCTTATCTAATATGATTCTTTCAGCTATTTTGGCGGCGATAGGAACGAGACTTATTGGTCGATAATTTTTAGCGGAGGATTTGTCGCCCTTTTTGAATACAGGGGTAACAGAAGCACTAAGCCAGCACGAGGGTAGGGTATGAGATTTAAAAGACGATGTGAATATCAAGCTTAATGGTAGGGCCAGTGATGAAGCGCAGTTTTTAAGTACAGCAGCCGTCATCCCATCTTTACCAGGGGAGGAAGAGGTCTTCAGATTTCGCAGGTGCATTAATACATCTTCAGGCAGGAACTCAACTTCGCAAAGGCTGTTGGGACACCTATCGCAGACACTGGTCGGTAGAAGGTCTCCATTAGGCTCATCGACGAAGTCATCACTAAAGGACTCTGCCAGTAAGTTGGCAGATTCGGTGGCATCCATGTGGAGATGACCGTCAGCGTCGCGGATCTGAGGTGATGAAACTTTGGAATTCAGGTTTGTTCTTAGATACCGAAACAGCTTCTTCTTATTTTTGGAGGTAACGAGTTTTCGTTCATAAGCATGTTTGGCATTATGTAACGTTCTAGATAGGAGGTTAGAAAAGGATCGATGAGACACGTAATCTTGTGAATGGCCACTCCTCCTAAACCGTTGCCACAAAGATCTCTTGTGACGAAGCATCCTCGATATGTTAGAGTTGATCCAGGGCTTTGAGGGGTCACAGTATACCTTCTTTTCAACAGTATTGTCAGCCGTTTCGCTTAGGACTCGTTGAGCGAAAGTGTCCCACATATCTTGGGTGCTACGGTTGTTAAGCAAAGCAGGCCAGTTGACTTCAGACAGGGCTTGGTTAAGAGCATCGTGGTTTACAATTTTGATGGTTTTAAACTTATCGGTTGTAGGACGACTATTTATATTGAACTGGAGAGAAGATAAAAGTGAACAATGGTCAGACTTGCCAAAAGGTGGCAAATAATCTAAATTAGAAACAAAGTCTGCGTCGTTAACGAATATCAAATCCAGAGCCCTAGGCGTCTGTCCTTCCCTGAATCTCGTTGGACGATCAACAAGTTGAGATATGCTAGAGTTGCGTAGTTCTACTTTCCAGTACTTGAAGACTTTGCGTGTGTGTCGCACATGCATAAGTAATGGCTGGTCTAATAATCATTTTATATAGGCGAACTTTGTTTATCAAACTCAATTTGGAGGAACTATACTAAGTGACATATAAACCCAGTTTAAATAGTTTTATTTTAATAAAATTTTGTATAAGTACTTAATGAAGCATAATAAGTAAATGATAAAAATTTCAAAATGCTTTAAAGCCCTTTGACCTTTAATAATGTGTGCATGCACCCTGATGTGCTACGCATTCTCCAACGCGCCTAGGCATGCTTCTGATCAGGTGGTCAATGTCCTCCTGTGGTATCTCATTCCAGGCAGCCACCAACTCCTCTCGAAGTGCTTCTAGAGTCTGAGGAGGACGTTGCAAATTGAGCAATCTCCTACCCATCATATCCCACACGTGCTCAATTGGGGATAAGTCGGGAGATCTTGGTGGCCATGGTAACAATGTGACATCATTATGTTGATAGAAGTCTATTGTGACTCTTGCAACATGTGGTCGGGCATTATCTTGTTGGAAAGTTGGATCTGCCAGGGTGTCAAGATAGGGTAAAAGACGGGGTTCTAGAACTTCGTGGATATAACGCTGGGCGTTCATGTTACCTCTGATGAAGATTAAAGGTGACCTGGAACCATAATCTATAGCACCCCAAACCATAACTCCAACCCGGTGTGATGAACATGTCTTTCAACAAAAAACTGTGGATTCCTCCTTTCACCACGTGGCCTTCTAACCCTGGCTCGACCATCGTGCATGCCTAAACAAAATCGAGACTCGTCAATAAAGACAATACTGTTCCATTCCTGATCCCAGAGTGACCGTTGTCTGCACCACTCAAGGCGATTACGTCGGTGTTCTCGAATTAAAGGGAGGACCCAGTGTGGCCGGTATGAAAACAAGCCAAAACTTCTCATTCGTCGGTAAACACTTCGCATGCCAATAGGTCTTCCGTGTTCTGCAAACCCTTCATTTGCAATGGACCTGGTAGTGGAGAAACGGTCCCTTAAGGCCAATAATCTTAGGCGGCGATCTTCACGGTCTGTTGTTCTACGGCGGCGTCCAGTGCCCCTTGCTCTTTGCGTACCGCCTTCTCGAAGCCATGCCTGACAACACCTAACCACAGTGTCTACACTTCTTTGCACTCTAACTTCAATTGCCCGAAAAGAAGGTCCAGCTTCCCGAAGTCCCACTATACGGCCTCTATCAAACTCCAGTTGACGAAATCGTACAGGTCTCCGTACTCTAGGCATCGTAACCGATCGTAAAGGATGTCAAGAACCTAAATCCGCCAACGTTGATTCTTTACTGCGGCTGAAATATTCATTTTTAGAGCGTTAGTGAATTAAAAAAAAGCAGTATGAAAACCGGAATGTCCAACTGATAAGGCTGAAAATTTTCTCACTTGTTATTTACAGTAAGGTAAATACATTCACCAACTTTTATTAAAATAAAACCATTTAAACTGGGTGTTCGGATTTATATGTCACTTAGTATATTATGTGACTTACCTAGTTTATGCACCTAGATCTTCAATTATAGTCTTGAGGTTAACATAACACAGACATAATAAATGGAGCAACTTGAATATATTCGTTTTTAGAATTTATTTTTTATAAAATCGAATTAAAATATGTAATAAACAAATCATTTCCTCCCATCCTCATCCATGCTATCTCATCATCTGGCCTTGACGAAAACTTTGGGTCCGCCTTTTATTCTAGTAAATGCATGTAGTTCCGTTTCGACTTCTTCTATAGATTTATATTCTGTGAATATTCTCAATTTCCTGATAACGTGAGCCAGTAAAACCGTTTGGCTCATCATTGCATATTTCCAACCTGAAATTTTAAAATGATGAATTGATAATTCGTACAGTAATAATATAAAACTATAGCACTTAATTTAAAAAATAATAAGAAAATAATGGAAGTATAATGGGACCGTTCAGCTAACGTAAAGCAGTGCAGTACATTGATCAACATAAAAGCGCTGCACCCCTGACAATTACAATTTATCAGAAAATGAAGTCGATGTTAGGTAAGTTTATGCAGCGACTACAAACAAGGTTATTTTTTAATAGATTCTATTATGTACTATATCCCATCTCATCTTCATTGATTCACGTGATTGTCACAGCCACCGTTGCGATACTGTTGGTCTCCCTCCGGGTCAAGTTATCAAGCTAAAATTCGGGATTATGAATGCTTTAACGCAAAAATAACAGATGAATATTTCAAGACTAGGCGCCATCTTGTAATATTTTTCAAATGGAATGTGGCTCTTGCGATGACCGACGTTAAAGCTTCCAGTCAGTAGAACACTTCATAGCATTTGAACATAAAATCAGTATCTTTCAAGACGGCGGAATAGCAGGCTGTCAAAGTTGACATTCTTTTTAGATTGATTTGCTCATAACTCAATGACTAATCATAAGAAGGTTACAGTAGGTTATGTCAGTCTTCTAATTTTGTGCAATAAAATATGGGCAAACTCACTCAAGAAGGTTGACCTTGCACTTCCTACGCAACGCCGTCATCAAGTCGTAATGGATCATTTTCGATACAAGTAGTCCCTCTTAGAAAAGTGTTGGCTACTAACACCACAAAATAATTAGCTGTCCATAGTCCAAGAATGCGATTTGACCTACCTCCCAACCGACAGTACCAACCACCCAGCAACGTCGCAATCCAGCACGGTGTTATACACGAATACAGGGTTGCCATATTGGGAGATTTTCTCTCAAATTTGGGGATCTTAGATTTGGGAATTTTTAGGAAATGAAATTTTCTATGCGATTTTTTGGGGGAAAATACTTCCACGCCAGGGGCGTACGAAGTGCAAAATTTCCTCGCACCTTTCTTTCAAATGGTATGTTCCATATTTTATTCGGATAGATCCTCCCAACCATTTAAGTGATTGGTTGCTGAGTGATTAGCTACTTAATGTACAAGAATAGTCAACTTTGACTTATCAAATCGAAATTTTAGAAGTTAATGATTTTATATTCTAAGATTATGAAGTACTAATTTGAGACTCTTGAACTGCAAATTGTAGGCTAAAGCATAGTATTCATGCATCAATTCAATGACCCAAATTTCTACTTTTCATTTATTCAAGGACCCTTTTGCAATATCTTTTTCTGTTTAGTGCTCTACTTTCTGCTCTTCTCAACTATACAAGACGGACAAAGAACGAGCTTTGGTAGTCCATCTTCATTTCAGATGAGATTAAGGTCCTAATGTTGTTAATGATGTATTTCTGCACTTAAAGGCGTTTTTCTATATTTTTCTGATTAGTCAAAAGAAATTTCTACATAAGGAGCTACCGATAATGATATTTATTTCTAACTCCGTATATTTCAAACTAAAATTTGTTCATTTGCACGCATTGGGTAATTAATGCCTACTACTATTCCTGGTTTGTTGGTAAGCGTTTTATGCTGTCTTGCATTTGGAAAAAGTCCATACCATCCTGCGTCTATTACTTACCGATGCAATTTCTAACGCCAAACGAAAATGGAAAGTAGGTTAGAGGATGCCTGTCTGCCATATTTTCAGGCAAAAACCTGTCTGGATCAAATTTCAACGGGTCCTTCCAGTGTTCTTCGGACCTATGCATATGCAATATGGGGAATACAAGACAGGTGCCTGCAGGTGCTACATAATTACCTGTAAAATATTGCAATAGAGTACATTTATTTTTATTTAAGCTTGATCTTGAGCTACGATCATTATACAGGTATATTACCTGTGGTATAGCAACATTCCAAGGCTATCGAATGTAACTCATTTTCTCAAAGGGCAATCAATAGTGTTTATATGTACTTCCATTGCCTGCGTAAGATGGGTAGACGTTCAAAATCTTGTGGTTGATTTTTATACATACCTTATTATTACAAGATAACAACCAGCACAGCCAGACACTTGCTGCCGATGCTTCAAAGCAGGACGTTCCAATATAAATAGACATCTTTCTCTATACCTTATTTATACGGGACTTCAGAAAAGAAAAGCTCTATATAAATGTTAACATCAAGCTTTTCATAGTGGATCTCACAAAAGCCAAATCGAATCAAGCTATATTTTTTTTAAACAAAATACTTTATTTGACAGCACTGAAATCTGGTGTACAAAAAATTACATTGCATGTAAAATTATATATTGTTATAAGTTCTATGAAACTTTTTTCTCTGAGCACTGATGAGATGGGTCGATTCATAGCGGAACACTCTGATTCAAAGCGTCTTTGTAATAATGTTCAAAAAACCATGAATATATGAAAATCAACGATCAGAATTTAAGTGGATGATACTTAACCTTTCTCACTTGGCTTACCTTACCTCACTCAGCAGGGGCGCAGGCAGGAGGCAGTACATATAAATGCTAAAATAACTCCATCTTGTTACGTCATTGTGAAGAGAAGTTTTAAATACGTACCAATAACTACATCTTCTACGACATGTCGGCCAACCATGGCAAGCACAGGAAACAGCCTCAATGATTCTTTCACTACCCTTTCTGTGTATTCAAGTTTTGGTACGTCATTATATTCAATATTCTTGTCTGGACCTACCACACGCATTACTTCATCGTATACCTTGTCCTAAAAGTAATAGTGTTCACAGTTGAACTTGTTAGTTTTCTAATATCTATGGGCCGTATCGTCAGTCGCCTACAATATTACCACCTTGATTTTTATAGTATTTTCTCTCGTCCAGAAAGGCTGTGGAATTTTTAGGCTTCTACCGTTCCGTAAGAGCATCAAGGTTGACCTATTGTGAGGTGATGCTTTATTTTTGAATCTTGAGAAATTTTCGGCTGATAGGAAAGGATAACAAAGGCTAAGAAGGCCATAAAGCCGTATCACAATGGCAGTAACGATACGACACTGTCCATGGGAAGGCGTTCCAGTTAATTTATATTCGGCCAGCTGATATAGACATAGACTTAGGCCCGTATCGTCAGTTGTCCCTACAATTGTAGGGCGCGTTTATGGCCTCCTTGATTGTCATACTCCTTTCTCTCCTTCAAAATTTCTAGATTACACTTGTCCCGTGTCAGCGTCAGCGCTCTCCTATTGTGAAGATATGTTTTCTTTTTCAATTGTAGGAAATTTTGGCTGATAAAACATGATATAACTCAAAAGCAAACAAAATTTGATGCAAATAGATGTTTGTGACATTACCTCAAAATAGGGCGCTGACACGGTGAAGTAGAAAACTATGACAATCAAGGAGGCCATAAAGGCGCCCTACAATTGTAGGGACGACTGACGATACGGGCCTTAGTATGAATATTATTTTTTTTTTTTTGGCATCAAATGACAATTTTCACCCATGTCCTTCTTTGTACAATAAACGGTTGTGTATAAAAAATCAATTAGACTGTCAAATTGATATATCCTCAAGTATTGTCCATATTTATTTCTTGCTAAACAGTGACTAGAGCCTGCAGCTTCGAGTGATATAGTTTGGTCAATTCATTTATTTTTATCTCAAAGGCTTCTCTCAATTTTTGCCTGGATTCAGGCGTAGATAAATGCTGTATCTCAGGCACAATAAGTGCTTTACGGCCTAGACACGTACCGGATGATGCGAGAGGTTGTTGAACTCTACATGAAAATTGATTACTTGATCCTTGAAAAGACGTTTATTTTTGCAATATAATCTCCCTTAAGTTCAACAAGTCTTTTCCGTAGATTTTCTGTGTGATTTACACCTTCCCTGAAGCGATCCTGTGGAGGCGCTTTAAAATACCCGTCTACAGCTGTAAGAACTTCTTCACATGCTGGAGGGCTCCGAATCTAGCGGCTTTTCAAGTAACTCGAAACTTAATTGAATGGTTATTGCTATTGTTAGGAGGGCTTCTCTGAGGAGGTGCACCGACTCGATAAGATATGATTTTTTTTTCAGTAAACCTGATCTTTCCTCCCGAATTTTTACAGCCAGCTGATTGAAATGCTAATACTGTGTCAGTGTTTTTTCACTTCCACGTAACATATGCTAAAGGACAAAGAAAGGTAAACTCTTCTTCTTCTTCCTACTTTATTTTAAGGCTCATGCTTGTGTTACTTCGGTTTTAGCCTCAATTGACGTTGTCTGGCCATCTTTTCTTCGGTCGTCCTATTGATCTTCTTCCATTTGGCGATCTTTCTCTTGCTATTCGTACTGTACTATTTCTGTCATTTTTTCTATGTGTTGATTCCATTCTATTATTCTTCTTTTGTTCCATAGGCTTATTTCCTCTATACCACATCCCGCTCGTATTTCCTCACTTCTTACTCTGTCTTTTAGAGTTTGGTTTGTTATTTTTCGTAAGACTTACATTTCTGCTGTTTCCAGTAAAATTTGTGTTTTCGCCGAATCTGCTCTTGTTCCGCTTTGTACATCATTATCGGTCTTATTGTTGATTTATTGTACAGGGTGTCCCAGAAGTCGACGTCAAGCCGAAACCCAGTGATAGGCAAAGTCATAACAGCTATCAGAAAAATATTTAAAAAAATTTTATGTATGTGTTTTGAAAATTATAGGTCTTTGAAAAAGATATAGAAATTTCACACCCCACGGCAGTCTGTCAATCCCAATATTAAATTTTTTTGGATTTTATTTTTACAATGTAATGATGAATAATGCATCTTCAAACTGGTGGTCTCAACCTTACTGCCAACTTTTCTCGTTCAGGAAAAATTGCCACTTATTTCCCAACCGAGTATTCCAAAGTAAAACTTTGCTCAACTTTAACTGGCTGTACTGGAAAAAAATGTACTACGAGAGTTTGGCAAGTAACTTTAAAAGTTGGCGCATTTAATAACGATTCCAAAATGGTATAACACTTAGAAGATTACTAGTTAACTTATGCATAATTTTATTTGAAAGAAAACTGATGAACATTTTCAACATTTCCTAATTAAACAGTCATTATGAAAACGCACAAGGACCCTTAAGGATAACTGTTTGCACAACAGTGGGCGTCAAAATGCTGTTGATGATGATTTACCTTACAGCAAATGCTCAAACTGTTTTCCTTCAGCCGCAATACACGCTCGACATCTTCTTAAAAAAGATCGGGTTATTAAACGAGCGAATCCACGGTTATTAACAAACTCAGCTGCTTCCAATAGTCTTTGCCGTAGCTCAGCTACATTTTGAATCGGCTTGAAATACGCTTTTCGTTTACAGTTCCCCAGTAAAAAAAATCTAACGGATTCAAATCTGGTGACCGGGCTGGCCACGGTATTGTACCAGACCGCCCTATCCGTCTGCCTGGAAAGTTTTGATCGAGATACTCTCTCACTGAGAGTGCATAGTGCGCTGGGCAGCCATCATGCTGAAACCACATGTCCCTGTAATACTCAGTGGCACGTCCTCCAATAAATTTTCTAAATGATTTTGCAAAAAACCTAAATAAACCTCAGCAGTCAAAGTCTCTGGGAACTCAAACGGACCGATTATTTTACCATTTAAAATTCCTGTCCAATGGTTTATCTTGAAGCGATATTGAGATTTATCTTCTCTCATCAAATGTGGGTTTGCTACGTGCCACTCGTGTAAGTTATGCAGGTTCATGTACCCATCTGTTTTAGATGTGGTCTCATCTGACCATAACATTTTTTCAAAGAACCGTGGATCTTCCCTGTGTCTTTCTAACATTGTGCGACAAAAAGCAACTCGGGGCTCATAATCCCGGGGCAGAAGAGCTTGAACACGCTGTACGTGGTATGGATGGAGCACGTTTTTTTGCAAGATTCTATGGGCTGTACTTTTGGGCACACCTGTTTTTAGTTCTATTGCACGCACTGAAGTACTCGGGTCTTCTTCGACAGCTCCTAGCACCACGTCTTCGTAAGGAAGGAAAGATCTTCCCTCACCGTGTGATTGGTTTGGTAGTTGGCCCTCTGAGAACAGTAAGCGGTGCACATTTGTGAACACTCGATGATCTGGATGACGAGCTGCATTCGGGTACCTCTCACAGTAAAGTCTCGCTGCAGCACTAGCGTTGCATCTGCATTCCCCATAAATGAGGTGCATGTTAGCATATTCTTGTACGGTGTACACGGACATAGCGGCACTGCACAATCACACTATCAAAGATAGTCTAAGGAAAGCAAATGTTGTTTTGAAGAGCAATTAAACAGTCCAAATCCAAATCACAAGCGATCAACAGTCCAGTTCACGAATCCAAAATTAGTAACAGTACGAAATCAACAAGCACGAACATGTAAAGATGCGCAGTAAACGAAGGAGTACTGATCGGTATCAAAGTGTGCAATAGCAAGTAAGTGATGTGCTTCATCCATACCACATACAGCGTGTTCAACCTCTCCTGCCCCGGGATTATGAGCCCCGAGTTGCTTTTTGTCGCACAATGTTAGAAAGACACAGGAAAGATCCACAGTTCTTTGAAAAAATTTTATGGTCGGATGAGACCACATTTAAGAAAGATGGGTACATGAACCTGCATAACTTACACGAGTGGCACGTAGCAAACCCACATTTGATGAGAGAAGATAAATCTCAATATCGCTTCAAGATAAACCATTGGACAGGAATTTTAAATGGTAAAATAATCGGTCCGTTTGAGTTCCCAGAGACTTTGACTGCTGAAGTTTATTTGGATTTTTTGAAAAATCATGTACAAAATTTATTGGTGGACGTGCCACTGAGTATTTACAGGGACATGTGGTTTCAGCATGATGGCTGCCCAGCGCACTATGCACTCTCAGTGAGAGAGTATCTCGATCAAAACTTTCCAGGCAGATGGATAAGGCGGTCTGGTACAATACCGTGGCCAGCCCGATCACCTGATTTGAATCCTTTAGATTTTTTACTGGGGAACTGTAAAAGAAAAAGTGTATTTCAAGCCGATTCAAAATGTAGCTGAGCTACGGCAAAGACTATTGGAAGCAGCTGAGTTTGTTAATAACCGTGGATTCGCTCGTTTAATAACCCGATCTTTTTTAAGAAGATGTCGAGCGTGTATTGCGGCTGAAGGAAAACAGTTTGAGCATTTGCTGTAAAGGTAAATCATCATCAGCAGCATTTTGACGCCCACTGTTGTGCAAACAGTTATCCTTAAGGGTCCTTGTGCGTTTC